TCCCTTGGACCCTCGTTGGATTTCCCTCTGCTGCTCACTCCTTGGACTGAAGGACCAGCTCCCCTCCTTCGGGTTTGGACTGTAAGGACAAAAACGCTCTTCAAACAAACCACTCTGGTCTTCCCCTCTGGACCAACATTAACCTGTCGTCCCTCTTTCCAGGAGTCGCTGAGAAGCAGCGTGTGGATTGATTATCACTGTAACTAATAAACACTGTTCTTTTTGTACTTCCCCTGTGTCTGCCTCGTTCTGGTCTCATACCATCTGGGTTCCCCGCGCACTCCTAACTGTCTCAGTTGAACTTTTACTTAATAAATGCACTTTAATGGTCAAATTAGCTGCATTTTGCTGGGGCGACGCAGTGAAATGAAGCTGATTTGACAGTTGCTTCAGGCGAGCTGGACAAAGGTGGCAGCTACGTCAAGCATATTGTGTCATTAATAATCACTTTTACCTATTAGATGACACCACGGCATGCCATACTACTTGAGTGCAATCTAGTGGCTGAAAATGGTAGTGTTCAATGTTTTCAATCAGAATGAATGAAAATGGTCATATCTCAGCCAAAAATTGGTTTATAAATATGGAAAAAAATCCATAAATACATCGATTTGGCATATAAGTCTTAGGGCATGCAAATTACACAAAAAATGTGACTTATAGGGTGAAAAATACGGTATTATAAAGCAGCTTTTCTCTGTTTTACAACACGTCAGTTTGCCGAGTGCCAAGACTGTCAGACTTCATTGAGACAAAAACCCTGAGTGGTTTGAACTTTACAGGCTGACTTTGAAAACAGCCTTTCTGCTCTGGGTTATCTTTAAAAACTTTGTCTTCTTTGATATCTCTAAATTTAGTCTGCAGTAACTGCCCATCTGTATGGCTACACAGCACAGCCATGGGTTCACATAAGATGTTCAGGAGGTTCTCGCTATCTCCAGACATCTTCTTTTATTCATCGTCAGAAAATTTTCATGTTACTGAACTAATTAAAAAAAATCTCCAAATGTGGTGAATTTTAGATGTTTTTAGTCCATCTGAGGTGAGGTAATGAGGAGGACCCATAGGGTTTATTCAAATGTCAAAGAAAATAAAGTGAACCGGAGTCCTCGGTTTCTGCTGACAGTCTAATTCTGCTCCAGGAACATGTTCTGGGATTTCACTCCAACAGAGAATCTTGTCAGTGTCTCTCTGGTCGGTGTCTGCAGGAGTCTATTAGGAACTATTCTTTTTGTGATTTGTAACTATTATAGTGGAACTAGTATGAATTATTTTTACATGTTTTTATTCTGGAGATCATCACATGCTTCCATTTTAATGTTTTGTGACATACAGTAAGTCACAGCCTCACCTTTAGAACTACAGATTAAATATACAGCTGTACACTCTTCAATATGAAACAGGCAGTTTTGTATGTTAGTTTTATTAATTATTTTTTTATCAGTGTTTTTTTTTTTTTTACATGGACCTGTTTTCTGATACCATACCATAGCACTTTATTTATAAAGCACTTAAAACAGTGATAATGCCAACCAAAGTGCTGTACAGACAGAACAACAGGTAACACACAAAGCAATATACAAAATGAGGTAAATCAGAATATAGACATAAAAACGATGCAGATAATGACGACAAACCAGTGTGGAGCATACAGGAGGATACTGCACTTAAGGTGGGTTAGAGATGCCTTCAACAAAACTGAGGTAATTTTAAGAACTTCACAACAATTGTGTGCTATTTTAAGGGGAAACATTCACAATTCACGTGACAGGACTGTGAGCATCTGTGACTCGTGAGGAAATTAAGAACCCTCGCAAACATTTTAAGACATTTGAGACAACGTCATGAATGCCATTCACCACTCAGTCACCAACAGCTGCACGACAGTGAGATGCTGACATACAAAAGTGAAGCCTGTCATTGGATCAAAAGGTGATTTAATGAGGCATTATGAGATTTCCCACTAATACAACCAGTTTATTTCTTCTTGTTGTTTAATGTGTTTACCTCACAATTGATTTACACTTGAATTACACAGAAAGAAATCACTTCCTTTACAGAGTAAACAAGTCACAAAAGTCATTACAGTCATTACAAAAGTAAAACATATACTAAGATTAACAGATGAAAAACAGTCATCGTTTTATTGTGGTTCAACAAAAAAACTAATGAAACAGGCCTTGACAAAATGGATGTTACCTTTATTTTTATACATAATTTGTCGTACAATCTTTTGAAGCATTCAGGTGATTCTGTGTCTCGCTCTGAGACTTCTGGACCTGTCCACAGGTGTTCTGGTCCACCTGTCCACAGGTGTTCTGGTCTACCTGTACACAGGTGTTCTGGTCCACCTGTCCACAGGTGTTCTGGTCCACCTGTACACAGGTGTTCTGGTCCACCTGTCCACAGGTGTTCTGGTCCACCTGTCCACAGGTGTTCTGGTCCACCTGTACACAGGTGTTATGGTCCACCTGCACACAGGTGTTCTAGTCCACCTGTACACAGGTGTTCTGGTCCACCTGTCCACAGGTGTTCTGGTCCACCTGTCCACAGGTGTTCTGGTACACCTGTACACAGGTGTTATGGTCCACCTGCACACAGGTGTTCTAGTCCACCTGTGCACAGGTGTTCTGGTCCACCTGTTCAGAGGTGTTCTGGTCCACCTGTCCACAGGTGTTCTGGTCCACCTGTACACAGGTGTTCTGGTACACCTGCACACAGGCGTTCTGGTCCACCTGTACACAGGTGTTCTGGTCCACCTGTACACAGGTGCTCTGGTCCAGTGTTTTTAAAAGTGGGGGCTGTGGCCCAGGGGTGCCTCAGACAGCTGGAGAAAAGAAGATAAAAAAAAACAAAAATAAAAAATAGTAATAATAATAATAAAAATTGCCCACTAGGGCAATCTGTATCTGTCATTTCCAGACAAACACGCTTGAGAGAAGTTAGATTTCTTTTGTTTTGTTCTTCTAGTCAACAGTTGGTTAAAATGTGGGTTTTTTTCCCAGTAGGAATATAATACAGTGTTTAAAACATGTTAGTTAATAACATTTTTATGCTCATCAGAGATTATATTAATGAAAATAGTGAATAAATGTTAAAAATTCTAAAAGTGTATGTTTCTTTGCTTATTTTGTAGCATTGTTTGTGGGTTTGTGAGGGGGGTCTCAGCCAGAAGCTATTGCTGTTTGGGGGCCATGACATGGAAAAATTTGGAAACTCCTGTTCTGGTCCACCTGTCCACAGGTGTTTTGGTCTACTTCAGAACAGTCCAATGTTTGGTTCTGATCCGTTCTTGGGGGTGTTTAGCTGTGTGCTTTGGTCATTATCCTGTTGGAGGACATATGGCCATTGACATAGACCAAACTTTCTGACACTGAGCATGATGTTTAGTTCCAGAATGCCTTGATGGTCTTGAGATGTTGTTGTCCTGGACAGATTCAGATGCAGTCCCAGAACAGAACCAAGCCTCTCCACGTTTCACTGCAAGTTTCAGGTTTGATTTGTCATATGCCAATCAACACAAGGTCAACAACGCAAAGAAATGTTTCAGATGAGAACCGTCTCGACTCGCCAAAAAACAAACAAAAACAAAACAAAACAACAAGAAGAAATACCAAAGCATGCATCAAAAATACAAAAAACAAGGTGCCAAAAGTGAAAAAGAAATAAATCTACAGTGTGGTTCAGTTAGCAGTGAGGTTCTTTAAGAAGCACGATTCTGTTAGCGGCATGGTCTTGTTAGCAGGTCCTGTTAGCAGCTTGATGGTAATAATGACCACAGCAGCTGCCCTCACAGGCTGCCCTCCAGAACCAGGTCTGGCTGACAGAGAACATCCAAGGTTTGCCCATGGAACAGAGCGGGTCTGTAGAGTTGAGTGCAGGCAGATGGAGGATCTTGTTAGCAGTGTTAGGTACATTGTTTTTTTATTTGTTTGCTTCAGTTTTTACTCTGTGAACTCAGAGCTGATGGGCCTTGTCAAAAAGCTCAATTTTTGTCTTATTTGTCCAAAGGACAATTAGCTTTGCAGCTTCTTGTGTATTTTGGTAAATCTTGTCTTTTAGGGTCTGCTTTCAGCTGTGGTGTCCACACCATGACACCAAACAACCCTGTGACTACCTGTCAACCTTTAATGCTAAATGATGCTAGATCTACGACTCACATTATTTTAACATATACAGTACTTATGGTCAAAACATTTTCAGTGGTACCATGGTACCATCCTTTATTCCAAGGTCAGTTTCACTAGTTTGGTTTTTAAACAAGTCTGTTGAACCAACATTAAAAAGCAATGACTGGTTTCAGTTTCAAATTATTTCAGACATTTTTTATTTTACACAATATATATATATATATATATATATATATATGTATATATTATCAGTATACCAGGGCAGCTGAGTGGTTAAAGCAGTCGTCCCCCAATGCAAGAGTTGGGGATTTGATTCCACCAGCAGTCACATGCCGAAGTGTCCCTGGGCAAGACACTGAACCCCTCATTGCCTCATATGTGTGTCCCATTGGTGTATGAATGTGATAAAGCTCTGATTATTATTTGTACAGAAACAGTAGAGTGCTGTATGAATGGGTAAACGAGGGCACATATTGTGTTGTAAAGAGCTTTGTGTATCTTCATAAGATAGAAAAGTGCTATATAAGTACAGTCCATTTACCATTTACACCACACTAGTGGTAAAAGCTTTGAAGTTATTTGTCATAGTTTCACTTTATTACACAATAAAAAGCAGGCAGTCCAAATGTTTATGAAGCTGCTATATGAGCTAAGAGAGGGAACCCTTTCAACTTGCCCAGAGCCGGATCAGAACCATGCACATGAGCTCACAGAGACAGCAGTAATAACACAATAGCACTGATTAGCTTGTTCCTCTGCTGGCTCATAGATTATTTTAGGGAAACAGGTGCAGTGGATTCTCCTCAGGATTAATCTCTGCCAGTGTGGGTCACAGTGCTGATATTTTGGATGACGTGTTTTTCTACTTACACTTATTTTTGTCCCCTCATTGTCAGGATCAGGCTCTGGGATCATCATCTGGAAAGACAAAGACAAGGAGCATTAGAGAAGTGACGTTAGCCTGTTGAGGAGCAGCTGATGACACAGTGTTATTTAATGTAAGCTCAGTGTCATTCTGACTGCAACCAACCCAGAAATTAATATAAGAACTTTCAGAAGAGGCTTAATGTATCTGAGGAGGTTCATGAATGTTTTAAAGAAACATCCATACACGGTTTGCACACTGAGTGACTACAAGTGATACAGGGCATAGATGTATTGCCACTGTCCTTTCTTTGAAAGGATATGCCACTTTTTCTTGTTATTTTTAGATTCTTTGAGTGCTTCTGTGTAGAAATTAAAAGAAAAAGAAAAAAGGACACAGCACTAAACCAGCTTCCTGGAACAAAATAATGGTTCTTCTCCCAGATAAAAGTAGTATTACTCAGGAAGGTACGTGATAATAATATGCTTTTAACTCAAACCACTGACTCACACACAGCTGGTCGGGCTGAAGAAAGGCCTCTGAGGTCTGCTGACCTACAGCCAACATCATCCATTGGTCGTTGATTTCAGAGGTAATTGGTCATTCGTCCCACATCAAAAGAAATAAAAAAGAAAGGTTGCTTAAAGCTGAAGGGCAGCAGAGGGGAGATCAGAGAAATGGAGGTTTTAGGTTCTGAGATAATACTGTAAGAGGGTGTCCTCCTCCGACCACACAGCGTTCTTAAAGAGATGTAATTATTCTGGAGGACCTGCAACTCTTTACTCTGGAGGAAGTTGGTCAGACAGGTGATAATTGAGCCAGATTAGAAGAGTAAGTGCTCTCTCTCTCTCCTTGCATGCATTCAGGCCTTCTATCATGGCTTCATGGATGGAGTAGACAGTCTTTATTACATGAAATACACAGCCAGGGAAAACTCCAACACATAAGCATTAACCTGGGGACTATATGTATGGTCACACCAGCCTGATGCCCCTAAACATAGGCAGATCCTGAGTGAAATACAGTCCAGCCCCACTCAGGGAGATTGGTTCAGGAGCCCACACTCTGCATCATAAGCCCCTTTTCTATAGCTCCTCTTCAGCATGACTCAACTCAGTTTGGTACGCTTCCAAACCATTTTACATTAGCATTTTTTGTGGAACCAGCACTTTTTTTTTGTCCCTTCTTTTCAAGGGAAACAAGCAAGCCAAGCCGGCACCAAAACGTGATGTCAGAACACTGTCGGTCACTGATTGATCAGGGGGTGGAGTCACTGGCTGTTTGAGAATTTTTCTAAACATTTGGTCTGCCATTTGCATTTACCGATGTTTGAACTCGAAGAGTGGCTGGAACAATTTTAAAGATTTTAAAAACAACAATGACAACACCGTGGTCTAATGCTGAAGTGCCGGCGTTTTTTGTGCTTGTTGGCTGACGACAAAATTCAGAGGGAGCTAGATGGAGCTCTGCCGGTCTCCCTGGTCCTCCACCGGAGCTTCGGAGCCCCATCAGGTCGTGCAGGGTGTCATCTCACCAGCTCAGAGCTACGCCGGTCAACGCGGAAGATCCTCCGTGCTGCCGACTCGGGGCTCAAGCTCTGGGCTGGCCTTGCGTGTTCTGCGGGCTCTGCGGGCTCCGAACTCCGCTGGTCACCATGGAGGATCAAACAGGCTGCTGACTTACAGAAGGCCGTTGCCCGGACCCCGGCCTCGCTTGCTCATGAAGGCTGAACCCTGATCCTGGCAGACAGGCGGCATGATAGTGGAAATGATTTTTAAAAACATTTCATGTATAAAAAATTATGTATTTTTTATCAGTGAAGATAAAATAAATAAATAAATTAACAGTGCCAGCTTTATCATGAAATCCTGTTTTCACTTCAATAACTATTAATAATCTGTTAAAGTTAACTCAGCTGAAAAATCATAAAAATACACAAAATTTTTGGATCTCTCAGGAATATTTGCCTCAAACATGTTTAAAGAAGAGAGACGGCCTTCAGTTCAACTTTATTCTAACCCACAGATGTACATATCACAAAACAAGAATTAAACTTTAAAGTAAAGCTAAAAAAAATATATATATCTGTGAACAAGAAACAAAACACATCTAAACTGAACAATAAAAGTATTCACAATGAGTGCAAATACATCAAATGATGAAGAAAAGGTGTACAATTTTAAAATCAATGTTTTTGTGTACGTCAATTTGAACCCTGCCCACTGGAACCGGTACTGAAAGGGGCTATGGAAACAACATGTACCATACAGAGTTGGGTTGAACCGTGCTGTGCCCGTACTAGGAGGTACTAGGGAAAAGGGGCAATCGTGAGCCTGACTAGTGGATCACCACATGTCCCAGTGGATACTGGATTACCTCACTGGACGCCCACAGTATGTGAGGACACAGGGCTGTGTCTCTGACAGGCTGGTCTGCAGTATGGGGGTCCCGCAGGGAACTGAGCTGGCACCGTTCCTCTTCACCCTCTACACTGCAGACTTAAACCATCAACTTCCCACACTGCCATCTGCAAAACTTCTCTGATGACTCTGCCATAGTCGGCCTCATCACAGGTGAGGACAACTAAGAGTACAGACAGTGGACTCAAGACTTTGTGGACTAGTGCTAGAAGAACCACCTCCTGATCAATGCTGCTAAAACTAAGGAGATGGAGGTGGATTTCCGCCGGCACAGACCCACCTCACTGACCCCGGTGAACATCAGGGAGTGGACATCGAGAGCGTGGACTCTTATAAGTACCTGGGTGTTCACCTGAACAATAAATTGGACTGGTCTCACAACACTGATGCACTTTACAGGAAGGGTCAGAGCAGACTCTACCTGCTGAGGAGACTGAGGTGTTTTGGAGTGCAGGGGGTGCTCCTGAAGACCTTCTTTGACTCGACAGTGGCATCAGCCATCTTCTATAGTGTTGTCTGTTGGAGCAGCAGCTTATCATCAGCTGAGAAGAAGCAGCTAGATAAGCTCATCAAGAAGGCCAGCTCTATGCTTGAATTCCCCCTTGACCCAGTGCAGGTGGTGGGAGACACAAGGACTCCAGCTAAAATAACATCTTTGCTGGACAACGTCTCCCAGCCCATGCATGAAGCTGTAGCTGAACTGGAGAGATCGTACAGTGACAGATTCCTGCATCCTAAATGCACAAAGGAGCGTTACCGCAGGTCCTTCCTCCCGGCAGCTGTTAGACTCTAAAACCATCACTGCTCCCAACAAACTCAATAAGGATTAAATATATGCTGACCTCTGCTAAAACACACACTCTGCCTGTAATACTGTGTTGTCAATAGTCTGTCCTAATCAATGTTCCAACACATAGTGAACAATATTATAGATATTGTTTATCTTATTTCTTTATATATTGCTTTTAACATTTAGGAATTTTTGTGTGAATCTTTTTATCTTTTTATCTGTTGCTGCTGTTACACTTGAATTTCCCATCCTTGGGACAATAAAGGCTGTTTCTATTCTATTCTATTCTATTCAATTCTATTCTATTCTATTCTATTCTATTCTAGTCTAGTCTAGTCTAGTCTAGTCGATTCTACTATATCTAGTCGGTACCGTTCAACCTCACGAACCAGCTCAGGCTCCTTCTTCACCAGAGAGCTACAAAATGTAACTATTTCTTATCTCAGACCTCCAAAAATCTAAATGACCCTAACAGATTCTGGAAAACCATCAAATCTCTCTCCGGCAGCTCCCAATCATCTGACCTCCCATCACAACTTCTTGTTAACTCTGTTCCCGTGTCAAATAAGCAAAAGATCCTGAACTGTTTCAACAAACATTTTGTTGCTTCTAGTTCTTTATTTGACACAGATACTAATGGAAAATCAGCTACTTCCCGTAAAAGTCAAACTTCTACTAACCATATCTCTCCTACAAGTCAATCTTGAGTAAATCACACCTTTTTTCTTTCCCCGTTCTCAGTTAGTGAGGTAAATAAACTGTTAAAATGTCTAGATTCTAAAAAATCTGCAGGACCAGATGAACTTCCACCTTATTTTGATAAGATTCATAACTGGCTGTAATTACCGTACCCATCATTGCACCCTGTATTCACTGGTTAACTGGTCATCAATAAATTTATGTAGACTCTCTCACTGGTACATTTTCATCTTTAAATCACTTCTTGGTCTGCTGCCTTCATACATCTCCTCCTACATGTCTCTGCGTGAGTGCAGCTACAGCGTGCGCTCTCAGGACATTATTTTAAACAGTGTTCCCTCAGTGCGGACAGATCATGGCAAAAGGACCTTCTCCTACTCCACTCCTGTTTCTTAGAATATCTTGCAAAATGATCTGAAGCTCTCAACCTTGATCTCTCTTTAAACACCTGTTTAGTACCTGGCAAAAACCAAGGCAGACATGTTCCTGGTTTTAGTTGTCTACACCGCCTTACAACCTAGCTGTTTTTTTGTTGTTGTTGTTGCTACTTTTCCTTTAGATTGTCCTTTTGATTGCCATTTTATTTTAACTTGTTAAAAAAAATTAAATTTGTACGGATCTTTTATGATTGTCTATTGTTGTTGTTATCCATTGTTGTCATCACTCTTTGTTAAAAAAATCAGGTCTCTCTTGTAAATGAGTCCCCGAGGCTCAATGAGATTAACCTGTCTACATGAAAATTTGAATAAATGAAAAAAAAAATCTGCCCAGTGGTTCAGGAGATATTTTGCTAACAGGCAAACAAACAGAAGTGCAGAAAACACCTCCATCTTCACCTCTCAGTGGAAGGTGATAATAAACACATCCCTACAAAACAAAAGCTAAATCTATTCAGTTTGTGTCCTTAAAATGTTTTAATCAGTTTGTGTCATGCATCAAGCATCAGGACCAACAGTTTGGATGTATGGAAGCAAGAAGTTCAGAAAGATGAGATGAAATCACGTCTTTATGTTTCATTTCTCCTCCTTCTCCCAGATTAGAGGATTTGCTCCTCTTCTTCACCTACAGAAAGTAAGAACTGATCTGAATTCACCTTTGTTCACATATTTGACTCAAACTGACGCATTGAGCTCGCAAGACTGCA